TTTCACCAAGTTTTCGGATCCCCACGGCTCCTTCTTCCCCCCCCCCCCCAAAACCCTCTTGTAATGAACGCGCGCTTGGGTGTTGTTTATGCGTGGAATAATTTTAGGGCTGATTCACTAGGACACAGATGTCATCTTTCAGCCCGTCTAATTTAATATTAATAATTAGCTTCATAGCGCACTGCTGAAATGTAATTCTCAAGTGCTTTGTCAAACGCTTGTCTTGATCGGTGAGCTTGCATTTTGTGAAAATAATCTCTTATTTTAGTTATACTTTCAGTTAAGCTCTTATCTCTTGACCCGATCTGGAAAATAGGAAAGCGGTGCGTGCGGGGAGGTCCTGTTTTCTGCCACTTAGCAAAGACCCCTTTTGTGAAACTGTTTTATTATTATTTTTAAAGTAATACTCTTCTTTTTGTTCTCTTCGGACAGTGTTAATGTGCCGAGGGAAGGCAACGCAGGATTTTAAAGGTCCAGATTGTCGCTTTGTAAATTTTAAGAAGGGAGAAGCGGTGTACGTATATTACAAACTAATAGGAAAATCAACCGAGCTCTGGGCTGGAAGCGTAAGTACTGTAAAGCATTTGTTCTCTTTGCTCTTCTTGGGGCTTCCTGTTGGTAATCTTCTTTCCTTCCTTTTGCCTCGTAGAAGAACACTTAGGGTTTTGAACATAGCTAAATAACATAATGAATGCCATTTTGTCTTGAGACCAGTGTGAAATGGGATGCGGTTTGATCAAACCTAAGGCATCAAGCGCTACGAAAAACGGGTAATGCTAATGTGTGCTAAAAACGGTTAGAAAACTGCCTTTGTGTTGAAACCCTCCCATTGCAGCACTGTAAGCCGTGGCCCACGAGCCTGCCTGGAAGCTGAGCCTCCCTTCCCGTCTAGGGAGGCTTAAGCCCGCGCTTGTGTTTACCCTGATGCGGTCTCTTCCCGCGCTCTGTGTAATCCTGCTAAAAATCGTTCCGTGTACGTGTTTTAATCACGTTTCTCTTCCTAATATTCAGCTGCTGTCTTCCCCTTTTTACGTAAGCTGCATGCAGAATTAGAGGACAAAAAAGTAGTAAAACTAAAAAGGATTAAGGTAAATTAGATTTTCAAAAGGTCTGCCTCTCAGCTTTAGTTAGACATTGTAGCAGCTTGCAGAGTAGCGGCCTTGCCTGAGTCGTTGTCTTCTTTGGGCAATCAAGAGAGCGTTAATGGGAAAGGATGGTCCCCATACTTGCAGATTTCATAGAAAACTCCTCTCAGCTTTCATGATAAACACCTTATTTGCCTGACAGAAGCAGAACCGATACCCTGGAGGAAGAGCAGTTTTTGCGGACTTCCCCTGAAAGTGCTGGCAGTCTGGAGGTGCTTAGACCTACTCTCTGTTGCCCCCTCCCCATGCTTCCCCTACGTACCCTTTTGTGTCCGAATCATTTACTTCAACCTCCTTTCTTGCTCTGTTCTTCTACAAGGGATAGACAATTGCCTGCGACAGTGGTCTAGGCTGCTCGAAGCCACACCTGGGTGTTGACTGTGGGACTAGTGGTTTAGTGAAAAGCAGGATGTATCACTTTCTCTAACCTGTTCAGGCTGGGTGTGGACAGCCAAGCTCTCAGCAGGAGCCGAATCCAATTAGAATGATACAGAAGAGAGCAGAAAACTGCAGCACGTGGTTAAAGAAGAGTTTATAATTGTATCGTGCTGGTAATTCCCTTCTGACATGTACTGTACCATAAATAATCCTGTTAATTAGCTGGTATCGGTTTCCAGGGCTGCCAGTTCTTGAGACGCGGGGTAGCAATGTGGGGCCAATTTTGCATCTTCTAACAAGGTGTGATGCACGCTGCAAGATCAGACAGCAGGTTTAAGGTAATTGCTGAGTTAATATGCAGTTTAACTATTCACTGACAGGAAGCTCATGCAACAGTTAGGTGTTTAACTCTCCGGCTTAAAAGGATGTTTGCTTTGAGTTTAACAAGTAAAAGCTGAAGTTGGCAGATCTAAAAGAATCGCAAAGCTCCGTTTCGTTTTTTGTCACTTTTAAATTGTGTTACACTATTTTCTGTGTTCCTTTTAGGGCAGTGATGACAGACTAATTCCTTTCAGTTGGTGGCTATAATCCTTATTTCTTTTTTCCTCAGTTTGATTGACTGCTTCTGCATTAATCGTCATACTGCAACAACCAGTTTGCAAACGCTGCAGCGGGGTCAGAGGTGCCTGCCCTTGCATGTGGAGCGGGGCACTGGCATGTCTGACCCTGTCCCTGACTTGCAGATAGCTCTGGGGTCTCTCTCATGCAACGTGACTTCCCCTGCCAGATTTGGCTGGGCAACTTGATTTATGCAGACCAGCCGTGCCTGCTGTGTGCAGTCTTGGAGCTAGGGGGAGGCTGTTGCTTGCTAATTAAAAACAGGCTACCTAGTGAGGTCTGCGTTCAAACAAATTCCAACGGAAGGCATGTTACCTTCTGCTGCAGCCCTTTTGGGATCTCACCGCGTGACTTCATGTGTGCTCGTGTATGTCATTTGATCTCGTGCATCTACCCTACTGCCTTTTTCCGTTCCCCAAAGTTTTGGGGGAAAGTATTTATTAGGGCATAATGGAAACTATGAAATCAAGGGATAACTGGTATTCTGATCTTTAGATGGGGACAGAGGTTAGGGGAATGTGTGTATGAGAAGCTTCAACTACTGCAACCTGGGGCTTATTTCAAACAAGTTGTAAATACAGGCTCTAATCCTGAAATCGATTTTGAGGAGCCATGAGAAATTCAATAGTATTTTTGACCTGAAGGGAGATGATCTGATAAGAAAGGAGCCTTTCACCAAGGCTGAAAAAATCTATAGCAGTTGGGTCTGGGCTTTATTTGCCTTTGCTTTTCTAATTTTGCCTGCAAACATGCTGTATTTTAACAAAATAGATCCTCTGTTTTATGATCCCAGTCTTGTATACTTTATTGCTCACAGAACTCGTATTGAGCTCAGTGAGTATTTTGCTTGTGAAAAGATTCTGGAACCCAGCTATAATATCTATTCTACACATTATACGGCATGCAGTTTTTAGCAGAGCTGTCTAAACCTCATCAACAGAGCAAAGCCAAATGCTTGGACAATATTCTATGACCATTATTTAATAGTGATTTTCTGTTACGAATTTCACGAATACCTCAGTTCCAGGAAAATACTTGATTTTTTTCCCAAAGCCGAAAGGTGGAGCACATCTGGTACTCTCATTGTCCAATGCACCCTGTCCTGCTCTAAAACTAGTCTCTTCTTCAGCACCCACCTCACATCGTTTACACCGCCAAGTTGTGTTATGTAGACTTTCCTCCTATGCATTTCTCCTGCGCTCTGCCCTCATCTTTAGCAGGGTCCAGAACTCCAAAACTGCTTCAGATAATTAAGGTAAAAACTGCTGCTTTTTAACAACACATTTTAGCAAAGACACTTTAAGTTCTTGCTGCGGAAGATTTTTATTTTATCTTGCAGCAAAAGGCTGAATTTTATTCCTTTGGTTCAAGGCTGAGAACACTATTTCTGACCTCATATTACAAGAAATGGACTTGGCTGCAGATCATGTGGTTTTGGGTGGTTGGTTATTTTTTGGTTTGTTTTCAAGTCTTATACATGGGGTAGTAGAAAGGAAGACAGGTGGGGTAAACGTAAGGTAAGACAGAGTGTGTCTGCAGGACCCAGAGGATCAGGGAATTTGTTCCTATTGTTTCTGTGTTTTCTTAACAATGCCAGCGTTCAGAAAGGGCAGACCAAACCAACTCCCTTCTTTGACCGATGTTCTGCAGTTTTAGGCACCTGTGATGCCTGTGCTTTAGGGATGTGGGCTTTAAGATTAAGGACACTTGAACATCTTGTTTCCCAGCTGTCTGTTTTCTGTCACTGAGGTAGGTGGTGTGAGAAGCCGGTTTCTTGGTCGGTGGTGGTCAGTGAATTTGCCACAGCTGGCTGCCACACGTGGGCACTGGTGGGAACAGATGCTGTACGCACAGCTATGTGTTTTGTCCACCCACAGCATTTTAGCTGGGAAGGGAGTGGAACTGAAGGATGCACTTCTTTCTCCCCTATTTACTTGGCATTCATAATGCCTTTCCTCTGTCGTATCTGTAGAGAATGAAGAATGTTTCCTTTATTTGCACAATGGGGCATTTTTTCCCTTACAAGAGAGGACTTGTAGGGAGAGGAGCAGATGAAATTTTGGGCATGCAGATCCCATATGGCTCGTAAACCACATAAGTGGCAAACTGGGTCACTGCGGAGGACTTGTATGGTCAGCAGCTTGGATTATACTAAATGAGTTTCAAATTGTGATGCCTAATTATAATGGTAGTCATGGAGATTAGTCTGTAAAGAGGCTACTTTGAAGCTTTGGCTTTTGTTTTCAGAAAGATCATTTAAAACTGGAATAGAAGTTTGCAGAGAGAAACAGGCCAATTTAGAATAAAACTGTAGTATACCGCACAAGGACAAGCTTTTGATTTGACTTGTCTAGTTTGATGCCCCATTCCCAATAATTCCCAATAATAAACCTGCATACATTATCTCTTTTCCATAAGAGAGTATCTCTGTGTCTACAAAAGGTGGGGAGGTAATAGATCTATTTTTTTATGTATGTATAACTAACTTTAGAGATCTCAACTATGGAAGGTAAGATTTGAATGCGAAATAGTTAAAAAAGGAAACCCCATAATGTATCAGTGCTTACTTTGCTTGCATAACAAACAAAAGAAGGTATTAGTACATTTTACTTACTAGATACAATTTTCCTTTTTTTTTTTTTTAATGCCATTGTAAATCCAGAAAACTTCAGGTCAGGTGAGCCTATTCCAGTGATATCAATGTAACAATACATATATCTATATACTCCTAACCATTTTGACATAACTGGCTTCCTTTTTAATTTGATCTTTAACTGAGTGCTCTTCCCAAATAAACTTTTCAAGAAAATTGGCAATTGTCATCTTCCTCCTGTAACAAAACATTGAGGGAATGACCAACGCTTTTTTTTCCCCCAGATATTTTGGTTGTCTAGGAACTCTGTACCTTTCTAGGCGTGTCCACCTGGCTCTAATTGCCTGGATTATCTAATCTGCGCAGTGATAGCATGCTATTAATATTGGCTTCTTGACAGCCGTTGTCAGAACTCTCAAGTGAGAGCATTACTGTGCAGATCTTATCCGGTGAGTGATAAGAGAGATTCTTGTCTTCCACTGTTTGCCTTGGCTTAGCGCGTTGACTTGCTTGAAAATAGCCATCTGCAACTGATCTTTGCTTGTATTAGTCACTGAAGAGCAACAATGCATTTGCAGAGGGGGTATATTTTCCACACAGGTTTTAAAATAGATTATTACCTCAGGTACAATTTTGCATTTTCCTAAAATCTGCTTTAAGAATTTTTTTTTCCCTTAAGCTACAAAGTGAGTGTATTTCAGGCTATAATATTGTGCATGGATGTAAATCTTATTAGGCGAAGATCCTCTTCTGCTTACTACTTGAGGCATATGTGGTGCCAGTGAGAGTGCACGACAGCAGTTAAAGCACGTGAGCCAGAATGCTTCGGCTTCACTCCCAGCTCTCCTAATAATTGGTTGTAAGTCAGGCTTTAAAACACAAACAGTAAAACTCAGCAACTTCACAAAGATGTTGTGGAATTTAAGTGTAAAACCTCAATGAAAACTCTTGCATAAACAAGGCATTGCTAATCTTTTTCTCTTATTCACTGTGTTAAACTTCATCTAGAAATACTTGAGAGTGAGTTTAACGTGTTTGTTACTAGTGTCTGTAATTAGGATTTTAACATAGTCACATGATTTCAAAAGCTTCTTTACTGCTTTTTGTTTGCTTGTGTTTGTTTTCTGGCAGGTTGGAAGTGATTTTGGATATTTTCCAAAGGATTTACTTGAAATAAATCATAATTATTCCAATGAGGAGCTAGAGTTACCAACAGATGTAAGTCTTATTTGTTATTTTTTAATTGGGCTGCTTACTGTTTCTTACCTTGGCATTCAATAAAATCCCTGAGGAGGAGAATGGGAATATCAGTGATCCTTAGTTACCTTTTGTTAGCAAGCAGCTACGTGTGTGCAGAGATGCACATGTGTGTCAGGGGGTGGAATGTTTGTGCAGATATGTATGTGGATGGGTGTGTAAGCATCAGCCCAAAATCTGGGCATTGATCTTTCTTTTCTTGAATATTCTGGTTTTCTTCTAACAAAATCTGTTTGGATTGAGCTCTAGAAACGCTGCTAGCTGGCTCACACATAGGCTGTTTAGTATGTATTCAGAATTCTTTCTTTTCCCAAACTTTAGAAGTTTAAAGTAGTATTAGAAACAAACAAAACCTGATACACTGTTAGCCCTTTGATTCTAGCATTGGTCCTTCAACCCTTAGACACATAAATGGCTTTCATGCACTAATAGCTAGTAACTCCAGAGTTCTGTGAGTAAGGCTTGTCTGTGGATGCAGCTTCAGACCCTTAGGAAATCATATTCAGTGGCTTGCACTGCTGTTTAATTTATTTTTCAGAAATTCTGTGACAAGCAGCTCCTGCTTGGAGGACTTGGTCATTTGAGGAGAGACCAACTAAAAGGGACAAACAAGCTTAGTGATGCTTGTTTCCTTCTCCTCACTGGCATTCAGCAATAGACTTGTATGTGATGTACATGATGAGTAAATTATAATGCTGTCAACTCCATCGCTGACTTCCAGTTTGTTCCTTACTAGGAGACCTTTGGCGGGACTAACCCATGAGGTTTCTATTTAGGTTTTTAAGAGTCCTTGGGCAATACTTCCACTGATTTCAGAGAGGGTTTTGGTTAAGGACTCAAGGAGTTAATTCTGCACGATTAATATAATTTACTTTGCTGCTGCATCTCTCTCTAACCAACCAAATGGATTTGGTCTCATCACTGTAATAAAGAAAATAATATTTGTGACTACACACTGTTTTTCATTTCAGGAAACAGACTTTGTTTGCTTTGATGGCGGAAGGGACGATTTTGACAATTATAATGTGGATGAGCTTTTGAAGTCATTGCAAGAGACAATAGCAAATGAAGGGGAAACTGAATCGAGTGATCCAGGGACAAAACCAGCTGAAGGAATTGAAAGGGATGAGGAGATTGAACAGCTCGATACAGTAAAGTCCCTTGATGCTTTGGAGACAGACAATCTTGAGCTAAGCATAGAAGATGACGCGATAGTCCTCATCACGACAGAGGAAGTAGACAGTTCTCTTACAGAAGGAACTGAAAATACTGGGGGAGACTCCAGTGTCCGTAGTTACGAAGAAAACTCTCAGGGAGATCATATTGCACGTGAGCACTTGAAAGGAATGCTACATGGGAAACTAAAAGGGCTAGAAAGTGAAAATACCAAAAACATTAGTATTCCTCAGGGTGAAACCAGTCAACTTGACAAAGAGAATGAAGAAGTCAATGCCTATACACTTTTAAACAGAGAGCTCTCTGTGAACTTGAAAACAGAATTTGGTTCAACTGCTGATGCTGTGGTATCAGATGATGAAGTGACCCGCCTTGTTACATCGCTGGAAGATGATATTAATGAAGATTTGAGCATTAATGCTCATGATGCAGAGGAGGAGCCAGACTTTGCAGATCAGTCTGAAGAAATCCCTTTGCTGTCTTTTACGGCAGAGGAAGAAATTACATCCCCAGCGGATTTAGGAGATGATGAAACCGATGACATTGAGTCACAAAATCATGAACCTGCTGAAGATGCAATGGGTGCTACAGAGCTAAATAACCAAAGAGACAATGAGGAAGAACCTGATTCAGATGCATTAATTCTTGAGGATGCCTTCAGTAAGAGCAAGAAGTCGGGTAACAGTATAAGTGTGGACAGGTCTGAATCTAAACAAACAAAAGAGAAACAGGATGAGGTGATGCTAATTAGTAAAAGAGAAGTACCAGCAACAACTCAACCTGAGGATCTCTCCAAAGAACTCCTTAGAAAGGAACCCGTAGGTGCAGGTGATCTGGGTTCAAAAGAAAAAACAAACAAAACTGAACAGTTTCAGGAGCAGCACACGGTTGATGGAACCGAGTCACATACTGAAGAGCTGAAGAGTACAGCTGTGCCTGATCCTTATGTTTTGCCTAGTCCAGGAGATGATCTGGAGTCCAAATCATTTGTTAAAAGCAAGGAAGGTGCTTTAAAACCACCTGTTGGTGATATCAACAAAAGTCCAGAAAGACTGCTGCTTGCTCAAATAGAGAAAGATGAGAAAAAGTTCGAGGATGACATCTTGGAAGAGGTCTTGGAAAGTGATTTAAAGCACAAGAAGTTATGGGAGGAAACAAAGGAGAAAGGAAGAGCTGAGAACAAGCCTTCTGTTGATGTTCCAGCCAAACCAGTGGAAGAGGTAAAAAATGCACCTCAAAGTGACTTAGGAGATACTGACCTCTTGAAAGAGAAACTGGAGCATGGAATGCCCACTGTGGAGAAAGAACTTCTAAGACATGAAGAAGATTTGAAACAAACAGGGGAGACCGATCATGAAAATCAAAAAACCACCTCTCTTAACAAAGAACCTGAAATAAAAAGGAGAAACATGAAAGAAACCCCTGCAGGGGAGGGAGACCCAAGCCATAGAGGAGCTGTCGAGCAACCTAGGCCATGGGAAAATGAAACTGAGTATTCAGAGGCAGATGTGAAAGAAGAGCTTTCAAGATATCTTGGCAAGATGACAGCATTTGAAGAAAGCATTGAGAAAAGTTCCCCTGAAGAAAAATCAAAAAGCACTACACAGAATACTAATACAGAGAATCTTACTCAGCAGGGAACTGCTCGTACTGAGGCTGCAGACTCAGACCGAAATCTTGGCACAAATTTAGCTAAAGAAAGAACACTAAGACCAGAATTGCAATCTGAAGAGCCAGATGCTGAAGATGACCCTGACCTGAAACAAGTAGAGGAAGAGCTACTGGAAGATGAGAATGCTGCAAGTGCAAAGCTGTCGCAAGCAAGGGCTGCAAATGTACAGGGTGATACACTGAACATTAAAAGGACAAACTCTGAATTAGAGGTACTAAGTGAAGCTGTTTCGGGAACTGCAAATCCTACTTACGAAACATGGGAGGAAACAAACTCATTTTCTGAGGAGGCTAAAAAAATGATCAGCGTGCAAGATGCAAGCGAGTCTGGGAACAAAGAGGTTGACGTACCAGTGAGTGAAGATGCTAAATTGGATGAGATGGAACGTGTCACGGAAGATGATGAGGAGTCTTCTGAAGCTGAGGAACCATCAGCTGTGGAAGAACATAATTTCCAATCTCCTGACGCAGAAGACAACAATGACTTTAACCAAAGGGAAGATCATCTCCCAGAGGGCATTTCATTCAATGACTCAAAAGACGTGCAAAATTTAGAGCATACAAGAAATGACCACCAGCAATCTGCGCATTTCCCCAGCCCTGCTGACAGCTCAGCAGCCACAAATGACACTGTAACAGACTTCAGTGAGTCTGTGAGGCGGCTCACAATAATGAGAGATTTTCTTGACGAAAAGCGTGTAACACGTCTACAAAAGTACCTTGGGCTTCAACACGTGGTTAGGATAGAAGCCATGTTTCACGACATGAAGGTAGAGATGGAGCTTGCTCGGAAGGCAAGCCATAATAACGAAGATATAGAAAAAGCTTTGGACCAGATACTTGAGTTTTCAGAATCAAACGTTATGGAAGTTGTAGGAAAAGTTCTGGATTCCAGAGTGGCAGAAAATAAAGAGGAGGTGGTGAAAGAAATGGATTTGTATGATGAGGAGAGCGCACTGATGGATGATATTCAAGAATTAATATATTCTTTAAGGAGTAAATATTCGTCTGCTAGTGAGAGTGTCCCACTCGCGTCTATTCCAGAACAGGAAGATGATCAGCTGCACATTCAAGGTAGGATGTTAAACCAGTTAATAAACAGATGAAACCCAAGTAAAACCCTATCCCAGACAACACTATGTAACCCAGAGAAGCTTTAAGAGGGTGAGGGAGCAGAATTGAAAGAGGCCCTGTGGAATCTGCTGGGATTTTGCTTATTTTTAATGCATTTTTTTGGCATTGTGATGGGTGGCCCAGGGACAAATCCCGAGAGAAAATGTTGAGCTCAGCATGTCTGTTCTTATGGGCCAGGTTCTGTGCATGGATATGGCTAGAAGGAGCCATTCAGGTCATGTCTATACCTCCTCCTCTCAAGAAATAGGGATTCACATATACCAATGTGCTGAATTTTCTGGAGGGTTTAGAGCAGTCTTTTTTTTCTGAACTAGCTAGCATCTAATTATGAGAAATCCAGTGATTAATGCAAAGTTCAGGCAGTAACTCCATGCACCTAAAATCTCAGGTGTCCCTATCATCGTATTTTTGCCCGCATTCATAAAAGTGCATAAGTAGAAATATTGAACAAACAGATCTTTTGACAGGGGATGAACCAGAGGTAGAGTCTCCTGCAAACTTGCATTTTTTTCTAATTAATGTGCAAGGCGGTAAGATATGCTCTTAGCAAGGCTCCTTTTACAGTAGTACATGTTAAGTATGTGATTTCTGATAAAGTCACGAATGATGAAAATATTTCACTTTGCAATATGTCATTGCAAGGTCAGTGGTTGATACCTTGCATAAATTCCATATAAACATTTAATTAGATGTTACTGAAAGTTGACTGAGAATATATTGGAAGCAATACACAAGCTGAAGTGTTTAAAAAGTGTCAAGAAAGCTTTGTCAAATGCAGTATTTCACTGCAGAGAGCTGTGGGTGAGAAATACACATTAGCTCAGTGCTTAATTCACGTCTCCCTCTCTGTCACAGATGGTGCAAAAGAGGCTGAATATGACAGAGTTTCCATCAGAAACCCAAGTGCCATTGATGAGAGCAATCAGGAATTTCAGCAGCTTGAAGATAAGAGGCCAGAACAGCCTACTGAGGAGAAGGAGAGCACTGTTAATGTTCCACCTGAGCACGAAGAGGCCAACTTCTCGGATAATAGAGAAGCCGAAGAAGGGTATGATAGTGAAAGAGGATCGCTGCTGGAAGATACTTCCTCTGGGTCAGATACTTCCCCAGGACAGAGTGCCAGGGAAGATATTGCTGCAGGTAACCTTTTGGGATTGGGTTATTTTGTTCTTTTGCTCTTAAAGAGGAGCATGGTTGAATGCTTTTTAGGCAAATACCAAGGTTTTTACTAATATTTTCATTGTGTTTTGCTGTAATCCTAATGGCTTTCACTAATCTGTGACAGTCCCTCTAGTGGCAGTATTGTATCATTACCACTCATCTCAGCAGGGAGGTGTTCTACTACCTTTTTGCACTATAGAAATAAGAAAAGTTCTCCTGTAAGTGTTGTAGTCAGGTGGTAGTGGATAAAGAGCAGAAATCACTAGAAGCATACCATCAGCCCAGGCTTCCTCCTCCTTGCAGGGGGACTGACAGTCTAGCCATCAGGCTATGGAATCACGTGCGCTCTCTTCTCGCTCTTTTTAACCTGTGACTCTGGGCTGTATTACTTTCCAGGAAAGATGGAGTGTAGCTTCCCTCGAGCAGTTCAGTAATTTCTTGCTAAGGTGTTTGTTGGTGTAGGAGAAATGTTTGACTCTGTTCTGCTGAGGCCTTCTCCCTCTGGAGCAAGTGTGCTGACCTGTGCCGACTCCTCACTATGCCAAGGAGGGATCCTGTTACCGTCATCTTCCCCAGCTCTGTTTGGGCACGAAACTACCTTTGACTCCATTCTCGGTGCTAAGCTCAGCTTTGCTGTTCTGCATTCACCTCTGATTATGCTTAATAAATCTGTCTTCACTGAACGTTTAGAAAAAAATCAGGCACATCTCGCTTAGCTTTTGTACGCTACTGAGGTACTCTACCATCCCCACAGCCAAGCACTTTTAAGCAGCTTCTGAGTTCTGAGGGAAACTCTAGGTGGAATGCAAAGATACCTAATGAATTTTAAATGGCTGGTGGATTACTTATGTGGTTAGCAGTCGGATGCCCAGTTGTATTCTAGACCATCTTCCATTCCTTCCTTAACGGTGGTTAAATGCCGTTTGCTAGGAATTGCTATGAGGACTGCTAGAAGTGCTGAGAAGAAGCAGGGCAGGTGGTTGTAGAACCGCTGGTCAGAGAGGCTGTTCCACAGTGTAACAACAGGCTGGGCTGGCGGTTATTTGAATCTGCTAACCTGAATTCATGGCAACAGTGGCGGTGAGAGATGACAGAGTAGCAGGCTTCAGATCAGGGTAGAAGTCAAGATGGTTTAAAGCTTATGCCGTACTAACAGTGCTGTAAGCTCATCAGAAGACGTAGGTTTATTGATTAGGAATTGAAGAGCGTGTGCTTTGCTGTTGACTTGCTGCTGGAGGAGTTGTATGTGCTCTGTCTGAGGCAGGCCTGGCAAAGTGACTTTCTACCCGTGCCCCTCTCTGCCGTACCTTTTCTAAAGCAGCCTGTGGAATACCACTGTCCTTTCTAGGGGCTTTTGCCTCTCTCTTCAATGCCCTGGAGAACCGGGGACCGGAGTTTGAAATCTCGCTTGAGATGTCGCAGAAACCGCGGGGGGGGGAGGGGAGGGGT